TTTTTCTTTCCTTCTAGTTGTGGAATTTACACTCAGCCAGCCTTCCTGTTTTTCTGGATGATGTTTGCTCAGTCCTTTGCGGTAATTTTCAATTGTTGTATGAGGCGATAATTTCCCGGTGTTTACCTATGCCGCCATCTTAGTTGCTGTGTGTGACCTGTTTCTTTGTCTCCGCATTTTGGCTGCTTCCCTGTGTTGATAGAGTGGCTTTCTGTGCTAGGTGTCCTATAGGGCCCAGTGGCTCAGCCTCCCCAATTACCTGAGGTGGACACTCTTGGTGCACCCCTTTGTGGGCTTTGTGCACAGTCTTGTTGTAGCTAAACCTTGATTGTTGTAGGTATCACTGGGAGGAATTGACCTCCAGGCCAGTTGGCTGTGAGAATCAGCTGTGTCTACAGTGGGAGAACTTCTGTGCTGGAGACACCCTTCTGGGGCAAGACTTGATTCAGTGGGGCTTTGGTGCTCACTGAGTCTGCCCCCTGAGTGTGTCCCTTATGGATCTGAGGAGTTGTAACCTGGATGGTCCCACTCTGACCACTGGGTACACTGGCTCTTAGATCTCTAAGGAGGTGCTAATTTAGCCTCTTCCTGAGGCTACCCAGCAGGAGCTACGAAGAGATCTGCAGATTCCCCTTCCTTGTTTGGGGTTTGGAGGTGCCCAGATGAGGCCCAGCTGTGAAGCAATGCAAGCTGCTGTGGGGCCTTGGGCCTTCTTTTGGAAGTTCTGGGTCTCTCTGACCCAGCTGCAGTTAGGTAATTTTCAGATTGCAAAGGGCCAGGCCTTTCATATGCAAAAGGCTCTGTGCACAGCTTGGGTGGGGCGGGGTCTCCGGGGATCAACAGCGGGGGGGCAAGCAGCTATGGCTGCTCCTCAGTCCTATCCTAAGAGGCCCCGCGTCTCAGTGTCCCGGTAATCCCTGCAATTACCTCTGAGAGAAAGCCACCCCCGAGTTCCGCCCAATGCCAGACAGTCCAGTTTCTCCCTGTATGAGTCTGGGTACCCAGAAACTCGCCTGGTACTGGAGTTCAGAGCAGTCGGGAGCTTGAGACTCCCGATTGAAAAAGACAACTGTGTCCTCAGTTGCCAGCCCTTTCCACGTGCACCTCCGTACCTCTGCACTTTACTTCCGCAGCTCCTCTGAGTCTCAGTGTGCTTTTCTCTTTCCTTCTAGTTGTAGGATTTCCACTCAGCCAGCTTTCCTGTGGTTCTGGATGATGTCCACTTTGTCTTGCAGCTGTATTTTTGAAGTTGTTGTGCGGGGCAGCAATTTCCAGTGTTTACCTATGCCGCCACCTTGGTTTCTTCCTACAGCCCGTAGTTCTTACTGCCTGTAGGGACTTCTTTCCCAGCTCTGGGACCCTGGGCTGGGGGTTTAATGTGGGGCTGGGACCCTTGTTCCTCCAGGCGGCCTCCACAGAAACGATCTCCCTCCCAATTAAAAATAAGCACACGTGGTTGCCAGACCAGCCCATTCCACACTCTTACTAGTCTCAGTGTGTTTTCTTTACTTCTCTAGTTGCAGGACTTCCATTCAGCCAGCTTTCTGGCAGTTCTGGATGATGGTTGTATTTTGGTTGTAATTTTGATTTGGTTATGGGAGGCAGTGAATATAGGCATTTGCCTATGCCACCATCTTGGTTCTCCTCCAAGAATGAGTTAACTGAATATTTTGCAGTCCTTATGGTTCGAGGGGCCTCATATACACCATATAAATATATATTGTGACATTTATGCATTTTTGTTCTCTATTATGTTTTGAAACTGTATTTGCTATTTTTTATATCACTTCATATTATTTTTTTTAACAATTTCTTAGTGATTTCTTCTTCAGTACTTCAACTGTCTTTTTGTTCTTTCATTTTTCTCTTTCATGGATGCCATGTTCTTTGGAAGCTTGTTTAGATTAAATTGCCTTTTAGGCTTCTTCCTAAAAGGAGGGGTTCACTTTTTGAATAATAATATGTCACAGGTGGGGCGGGGCATCAGGATTTTAGAGATGTTTAGGTGGGGCATGGCCAAAAAAAGGTTGGGCACCACTGGTCTAGTCAGCCTGGTGCTAAATCAGCCTTTAATTATGGACATTTTCCCCTATGTACAGCCTTTTTTTCTATGGTTGCCTCTTTCTTGTTACGTTTTTGGGTTTTTGGTCCCTCATACAAGATTGCTTTTCTTACCTTAGACTTGGCAGGAACTTCAGAGCTTATCTAATTCAAATTGCTTTCTTATCAGATGATAAAAGTGAGGCCCACAAACAAATGACATGGAAATCTAGAACCAGATCACAGAAACTATATACTCTTTAAGTTCTCTTCTGCTAAAAACTTACTATAATTGTGAATTTAGCTCCTTTGGGATACTGTAAGTTCTCAGTTCTTCTAAAAGCAACTGATCTCATATTTCTGTTGTTCATAATTGTTAAAAGCCAGTGAGAACAGAAGCTCTAAGTTATTGGCTGATAGCAGTTACAGTCTGTTATCTCTTGGGTTCAATTTACCCTTCAGTATCTTGCTTTGCTATAATGAACTGGGCTTTTTGCACATTTCTCCCTATAGTGAGCACAATTAAGTTTTGTCAGTAGAAGGAGGGAAGGGGGTCTCTTTCTGGTTTCAGTTTGTTTTGCTTTTCTGCTTCCGATGCAGTGTCATCAGTGCAGGTAGCTGGGACACCTTGTGGGTCAGGAATCGTGCAGTTCTTCAACAACCTAACATTGACCTAGGCCAGTGATGGCGAATCTTTTGAGCTCGGCGTGTCAGCATTTTGAAAAACCCTAACTTAACTCTGGTGCTGTGTCACATACAGAAATTTTTTGATATTTGCAACCATACTAAAACAAAGATTTATATTTTTGATATGTATTTTATATATTTAAATGCCATTTAAAAAAGAAAAATCAACCAAAAAAATGAGTTCGTGTGTCACTTGACACGCCTGTCATAAGTTCGCCATCACTGACCTAGGCTGACCACACCTGGCAGCACCTCCCACAGACACTAATGTACCCATATTCTAGGTCCACCTGGCAGGCAAAATATTTCATAAATTAACATGGTGGGAGGGACAGAACTAGATGATTTTATTTACTAGAGGCCTGATGCATGAAATTCGTGCACTTCAGGGGGGAGGTGGTTCCCTTACTTCAGCCTGGCCTGCACCCTCTCGCAGTCCAGGAGCCCTCGGGGGATGTCCGACTGATGGCTTAGGCCCACCCCTTACTGCTGCCATGGAGGCAGGAGAGGCTCCCACCATCACTGTGCACTCACCAGCCGTGAGCCTGGCTTCTGGCTGAGCAGTGTCCCCCTGTGGGAGTGCACTGACCACCAGGGAGCAGCTCCTGCATTGAGTGTCTACCCCCTGGTGGACAGTGCACATCATAGCAATTGGTCAACTGATCAACTGTCTGCCCCCCTGGTGGTCAGTGCACGTCATAGCAAGCAGTTGAGCGGCCTTAGCATATCATTAGCATATTATGCTTTGATTGAACGGGTAACCAGACACTTAGCATATTAGGCTTTTATTATACAGACAGTCCTCAGATTACATTCGACTTGACTTACGTCGTTTCGTGGTTACATTGCCATCTCCCATTTATTTATTTATTTATTTATTTATTTATTTATTTATTAAATATATTTTATTGATTTTTTACAGAGAGGAAGGGAGGGGGTAGAGAATTAGAAACATTGATCAGCTGCCTCCTGCACACCCCCTACTGGGGATGTGCCTGCAACCAATGTACATGCCCTTGACCAGAATCAAACCTGGGACCCTTCAGTCCGTAGGCCAACGCTCTATCCACTGAGCCAAACCGGTTAGGGCTCATTTATTAAAAAAAAAAAAAAAAAATTTCCATCATTTCGACGTATGTACGTATGTGCTTTATGTTTATTATTTGTTTACCACAAGATCAGGAATTGTTGTCTTTTGAATTTTTTTTACTGTTTCACTTCCTTACTGCTGTGTATGTGCTCCATGTGAGTGACATAGGTGCTTATGTAGGTGGGTTCTGACTTATGGCGAAAATCGCGTTATGTCGAGGCATAGGAACTGATCTCTGATGTAACCTGAGGACCTACTGTATAGGATGCTAGCTGTATAGAGAGCTCTATTCATAGGTAAGCTGCAATAGCTCTCATCGATAGCACATAGCACTTAACTATCAACCCTATTATCCGTCCATCTTACTTTTCTTTTGAGTCCTTAAAGTATTTCTTTTCCACTTTTAAGTCTTATTTGGAGATTTCCTTAAACCAGCCGTGGGCAAACTACGGCCCTCGGGCCTGAACCAGCCCGTTTGAAATGAATAAAACTAAAAAAAAAAAAAAAAAGACCGTACCCTTTTATGTAATGATGTTTACTTTGAATTTATATTAGTTCACACAAACACTCCATCCATGCTTTTGTTCCGGCCCTCCGGTCCAGTTTAAGAACCCATTGTGGCCCTCGAGTCAAAAAGTTTGCCCACCCCTGCCTTAAACCCTACTAGCTTATTTTATGGCCTGATGAAAAGAAATGGGACTAACTCGGAAATTGGCAGGTGGGCTACAATAGAATAGACTGGGAAGGACACAGTTGTCCTGATAGGACACAGTGAATGTGGTGGTCACACTTTGGTTTGTCAGTCTATGCTATTTCAAAATTATCTTTTTGTTTCCCATTAACAGTTTAAGCAGCTTCTAACTCCTAAAACACCTTCTGTTAACATCAAGCAGCATGGCATTATATTAAATATTGGCAACTTAAATTCTACAACTATTTTTTAGAGCTACTCTAAAATAACCTTCCTTTGTTCCATCCTACATCTCTCTGTCAAGTCTTTGTGGTAGAAACAAGCAAGGAAGTTTAAAGGAGAATGATCTATCTAACTGCACTATTCTTTTTAAGTCTTGTGTTTCTATAAATCCTATATTATATAAATGATTATTATTGACTAAATTTTTAAGACACAAGAAAATGTATCTTTTTAAGAATTCTGGGTTTAAAAAAAACCAAAACACAAATATTATAAAAGCAAACTAATTTTATTTGAACAACCTAATTGGAGAGAAGGGTAGGTGAACAATTACTGTAACCAGAGGGGAATATTCTATGACAAATTTTAAAACATAATGGCAGAATAAGCTAAAGAGTTTTTTTGAAAACAATGTTTACTACAACATAATAACCCCTTATAATGGTAGACCTATTATTATTTGAATGTTTGTCTAGTCTAGTCTCTTTAATACTTTTTAATATTTACATATGCTGTGCCTGAATATGTAAATAAGGCTTAAGAACTGCAACAAAATCTGTTCTCTGACACTATCTAATAAAATACGGAAAAAGCAATAAATTAAAATTTGCATAGGTTCATAGGTATGCCAATCATAAGTTTTAAGAAAAACAATTGGGAGAAAAGAAAGCATAACAAAGTTTCAACAAGTAATTTAAACATCGTATCAACTTTGGCTTACATACCAAGTGGTTAAAAACGCTAATTTCAAGTGTTCATGAATTCAGTAGCTACCAGTACAATCTATCCTTTATTCCCCCCAACCTCCTTCTTTAAGGGTAGCAACATTTTTTTGAAAGATTTTAAAAATTCAGTTTGGATCATGATTTTCTTAAACAGACTTAGATGCTCATGAGAGACCATTTATACAACAAGCAACACAATTTTCCTTATAGTTTTAGTAAGCTGCAGCAATGAGGAATATTATATAGAAGGATCTTTACCTTTGAATACAAACAATAGAACCTTTGACAAGGAGCCCACAATTTCAAAAGAAGCTACTTATAAAGAAAATATAGGTACTCCAAATGAAGGTATGAACAACTGTCTGCTTCTTGATAAAAATACTGGAAATATTTTCTCACTTTTACTATGCAGAATCAGAACTTGAAAAATAATAATCTTTCTCTTCTTCATCCAAAGACTCCATAGCATTAGTGAAAAGTTTTCCAATAGTAGAGCTTTCTCCTAAGAAGAATTTAATAAAAATGTTGAATACATTTCTAAAAGTAATTTCAATAAAAATAACTATAAGATATCAAATGGTAGGTCTGCCCATTTGACAACAGTTAATTTTAGTACCATGTTCATAAAGAGACTGTTCTATAATAGAACTGAGCTACTAAAGAAAGAAATGTGTATTACCTTTGTTAAGTGGGGTTTTTCTTCTTGATGGAGTTGAAAAATCACTTTCCACCTACAAAAAGAGTTTACATTAATAGGAAAATGGTACCTTCTGTGAAGCCTGCCTCAAATCTAGACAAAATTAAGCCTGCTTTATCCCCAGAGTACTTATAACAACACCTAATCTATAATAATAAAAGCGTAATATGCAAATCGACCCAACGGCCAAAGGCTACGGGTGTCAAACGTGGTCCAGAAGACCACGCTATGACACCCACTGGCGCCAGGCCAGCCAAGGCAGGTGTAATACGATTGGTCAGGGGCCCCACCATCACCCCATGCTCACCCCACAGAGGGAGACCCAGGCCACAGGCCTACAACGGGTGGGTGGGGCCTCCCTCTGTGGGGGTGATCCATTGCAGAGTGAGTCTTTGGGGCTATTAATTGTGGGGTTCCTGGACTGTGAGAGGGCGCAGACCACGCTGAGGGGACACCCCCCCCCCACAAGTGCACGAATTTCGTGCACTGGGCCTCTAGTCATAATATAATTATCCATGAGATGTCTAATTCTCTTTTAAGTTGAATTTATTTGGGGCAAGAACTATGACTTATTCAATGTCGTTTCCCACATTACAAACTTATGCAACAGCAATTAATAAAATAGTCTATGGGCCTCTGAAAGTTGCCAAATCTCCTACGTACTTATGCCATGACATTATACTAGCAACATTTTAAAATTCTCTGTACTTTAAAATCTTTCCTACAATGGCAGTTTATATCATAAGCTTTAACTGTATAATGCATGCTTACATAATTAGTGCTTTTAAAACTACTGGTGGGAAACGGGGTGCGGCCGGAAAGGGGGCCGCTCCCACGCCCTTCACGCAACACAAGTTCGTGGGGAACCTGGCGCTAAACCATTCGTAGACCTGCTTCTGGGTCGGGGTTTCCTACGCAGCAGAGCAGCTCCCTCGCTGCGATCTACTGAAAGTCAGCCCTCGACACAAGGGTTTGTAAAAAAGAACAAAAAACAAAACTATTGGCCATAGCTGATTATCTTTAAAAAATGAAAAGAAACGTAATAGAAAAGGAAATATAACAGTATACCCACTATGCGAAGGGAAGTATTTTTAAAACGTTTGAGATATAAACTCATGTTCATAGATTGTGATGTAAATAATTTCTTTCCCTGTGAAATGAGTCAAAACATTATTACATTTTTTAGCTCTCAAAGTTATTTGGTGAGAGAAACCAGTATCATTATGACGCCCAGTTCATACGATACATGAAAAAAATGAAATTAGAAAGCTCAAGTGGCTTCCTTCACCACAAAGCTGGTATAGGGAGTCAAACCTTGACATCTGAATTTTTAACACTACATAAATCCTTTGCTCTTTCTATTCTCACACATTGGCTACAAAATATTAATCTATGAAAAAATGGGGCTAAATCACAAAGATATAATTTTGAAGCTCAAATGATAGTCCATTAAGAAAAACAAAAGTATTTAAAATTATGTCAGAAATACAGAGAAATAAGCTTTTAATAGGTCCTTATACCTATATCCATATGAACTGTTTCTCATTTTGCAGAGAACAGTGGACTAGGGTCTTGCTACTACTCAGTATGGTCCATGGATCAGCAGCAGGGGCATCACCTGGAGGTTGCTAGAAATGCAGAATTTCAAACCTACTAGATCAGATTTAACAAGATGCCTAGGTGACTGCCATGCACATTAAAGTTTGAGGCAACCCAACTTCTTACTGGCAAAGCAGACACTATAAGACAAGTCTTCTCACTATGTTAAGGTGATTCCTGGTCCTTTACAACAAACCAAAATTTCATTTTCATAAGGAATGTGAGACGAAAAGGGGAATCTGAAAACACCAAGAGGGAGGCTGCCTACAGAGATTTCTTTTGAAGAATTTAGTCTCCAGGCTAATTTTCAATCAAGCTCCCCAGAGGTATCATTTCCTGTGGACAAGTGAAGCCCACAAAGATTGGATGTGATTAATCCCAATGTTTAGTTTACAGACTCTCTGAGAGGAATTTTACTCTAGGCAAGTATACAATATAAATATTTCAACATGGGTGAGGGAGGAAGAGGTGTCCATAACTTGGTCAGAAGGAATATACCTTCAGGGGATAAGGCAGTCATTTTCCATTCTACTACCACCATAAACTATCATTCTCTAAGATTAGTTATTTACTTCGAGGAAATCTGAGGTGAATTAGCTTTTCTAGAATGAATATAAGTTATCCAAAGTAAAATCAAACAAAATTTTAAAATTAATTCAAGAGGATAAAGGATTCTCTCAATTTTTTATTAAAGGGATATAGATCATTATTAAAGCAAGGCTGAGTTAAAATTTTTTCTATAGTTTTAATATTGATCTACATATGTATATTAGCTGAATTTCAAAGACATTTAGAAGCTGCACGGGATTTGATGAAGTTTCTTATTCTTTTTTTTTTTTTTAAAAAATATATTTTATTGATTTTTTACAGAGAGGAAGGGAGAGAGATAGTTAGAAACATCGATGAGAGAGGAACATCGATCAGCTGCCTCCTGCACATCTCCCACCGGGGATGTGCCCGCAACCCAGGTACATGCCCTTGACCGGAATTGAACCCGGGACCTTTCAGTCCGCAGGCTGACGCTCTATCCACTGAGCCAAACCGGTTTCGGCAAGTTTCTTATTCTATAATAGTCATAACTCAGTCTGGACGATTCCCCAATCATTGAACAGATATGCTTTTGTGTCTTGCCTGAAATGTCCTTCCCTGACCTGTAAGTGCTTTTCCCACCTTATCTGACTCTTTGAATGAAAATTTTTACCATTTTCACTTTCCTCAAATACTATAGTCAATCACCTGCCATCTGTAATTTACAGCACTTAGGTACTTACCTCACTCACAACCTCATATTACCATTTACTTATATTAATTAGGCTATAAGTAACTTGAGGGTAAGGCCTGTTACATAACTTGTAACTCCCGCAGTTTGCCATGTATTATAGTTGTTCCATAAATACACGTTGAATAAATCGGGTGTGAAGAATAAAAATACTTACTGTTTTCTTCTTGATATTGCCCCAGACAACACCACCTTTATTTTTATGTTTTTTTTGCATGTGAAAAACATATTTATCACAGTCATTCCTGTTTGAATACAAAATAATTGCAAGTCAACATTAACTACCATAATTTTATCCATAGATTGAACAATTGACAAAATTAGTGTTTCAATTTCTAAAAAGTGCGTTCTCACTAACATTTTTAAAGACAATGGTGTACCAAGGAAGATGGACAAAAAGCTTCGAAGATTTAAAGGAAATGGAAATACCAGATAAGAATATTCTGGGAAATTATGGATTTGCATGTTCATTGTCCCATTTGTGCTCTCTCCAGGCTCTGTCTTGCTGCTGCTGCTTTTTCAAAACTCACTGTGACTTCTTACCCCTGAACTCCCTTTTGTTATAGCTTTCACTCCTTTCTCCTGGTCACTTCCTTCCCTAATCCAGATTGAATCTTGAAGTTGATAACTTTAAGGTGATGAAAACCCTTAATTAATTTATAGCATCAAACTGTGTTGAGTCTTCAATTCAGTGTACATCTATGAAGTTTTTTTCATTTCTTTTTACCTTATCTCTTTTTTTGTTAATTTTCATGGGAGGATATTTTTCCCATTAAAGGGGGAGAGAGGGAGAGGGAAAGAGAGAAATAATGTGAGACACACACATTGATTGGTTGTCTCTTCCATGAGCCCCAACCAGGACTGGGGATCCAACCTGCAACCCAGGTATGTGCCCTTGAGCAGGGAATGGAATCTGTGACACGTCAGGGCTTTACCTTATCTATTTTTTATTTTCTTTTATAATTCTTATTAATTTAAATGCTATCCTATTGTTGACAGTATTACAAATGTCCCCCCATCCTCCTTTACATCCCCCTCCTCCCAGCCCCTGCCCCTCCCATGCCTTTACCACACTATTGTCTATATCCATTGGTTATGCATATATGAATATGAATTCTTTGGTTAAACTGTTCCTGTTTCCCCTCCCCCTCCCCTCCGAGATATACCTTATCTCTTAACCCTCTTTCCTAGCATACAGACTTGATTCATAATTTAGAGATGAAAATTAAAGCCAAACAGAATGGTTGTTCTCATTTTCCCCTACAATTCCTAGTCTTCCCCCCCCCCCCCCACAGTAAATACCAGCTGAGCACCAATTCTAATTCTTTTTCTTGGCTCCAAGATATCCTATATGATTATCTGTTCCTTTGTGACTATTTGGGAGCAACCTTAAAGGTGTGACATGTAGAAATTTCTAAATGTGTGACTGTATTAAGATATAATGTGTACCACAAACACTCTTGCATATTACCCAAAGCAATATACAGGTTTAATGCAATCACCATAAAAATCCCAATGACTTTTTTTCTTTTTTTGATCAATCCTCACCCAAGAATATGTTTTTAGAGACAGTGGAGGTAGATGGTGGGGGTGGAGGGCGGGAAACATTGATGTGAAAGAGACACATCCATTTGTTGCCTCCCACAGGTGCCGTGACCTGGGTCAGGTATTAACCCCTAGAGTGCCCAAGAGCATGATCGCGCTCCTCCTGTCTTTCGCCAAAAGTGTCGGGAGCACTATCAAAGCTTCGAAATGGCGTCCAGTTCTAAGTCTGCTTTTATTAGTGACTAGAGGCCAGGTGCACAAAAATTTGTGCACTCCGGGGGGGGGGTGGTCCCTCGGCCCGGCCTGTGCCCTCTTGCAGTCTGGAACCCCTCGGGAGATGACCTGCTGGCTTAGACCTGCTCCCGGGTGGCGAGGGCAGGCCCAATCCCTAGGTGCAGCCCCTGGTCGGGCTCAGAGCAGGGCTGATTGGGGAGTTAGGGCGCTGCCCCGTCATGCATAGAGCAGGGCAGATTGGGAGGTTGTGATGCCACCCTCAGTCACGCTCCGGGTAGGGCCAATTGGGGGGTTGGGGCACCGCCCTGTCACACTCAAGGCAGGGTTGATGGGGAGGTTGCAGCGCCACCCACTGTCACGCACAGAGCAGGGCCCATCGGGGTTTGGGAGCTCCCCCATGTCATGCACAGAGCAGGGTCAATCAGGGGGTTGGGGAGCTCCCCCCTGTCACAACAGAGCAGGGCCAATCAGGGGGTTGGGGTGCTCCCCCCTGTCACGCACAGAGCAGGGTCGATCAGGGGGTTGGGGAGCTCCCCCGTCACGCACAAAGCAGGGCCCATCAGGGGGTTGAGGAGCTCCCCCAGTCACACACAGAAAAGGGCCAATCGGGGTTGGGGCGCTGCCTCCCTGTCACGCACAGAGCAGGGCCCATCAGGGGGGTTGGGGCTCCGTACCCTGTCACCCACAGAGCAGGGCCGATCAGGGGGTTGGGGCGCCGCCACTGTCACACTCAGGGCAGGGCCGATCAGGGGGTTGGGGAGCTCCCCCGTCACGCACAGAGCAGGGCCCATCAGGGGGTTGAGGAGCTCCCCCAGTCACACACAGAAAAGGGCCAATCGGGGTTGGGGCGCTGCCTCCCTGTCACGCACAGAGCAGGGCCCATCAGGGGGGTTGGGGCTCCGTACCCTGTCACCCACAGAGCAGGGCCGATCAGGGGGTTGGGGCGCCGCCACTGTCACACTCAGGGCAGGGCCGATCAGGGGGTTGGGGAGCTCCCCCGTCACGCACAGAGCAGGGCCCATCAGGGGGTTGAGGAGCTCCCCCAGTCACACACAGAAAAGGGCCAATCGGGGTTGGGGCGCTGCCTCCCTGTCACGCACAGAGCAGGGCCCATCAGGGGGGTTGGGGCTCCGTACCCTGTCACCCACAGAGCAGGGCCGATCAGGGGGTTGGGGCGCCGCCACTGTCACACTCAGGGCAGGGCCGATCAGGGGGTTGGGGCGCCGCCACTGTCACACTCAGGGCAGGGCCGATGGGGAGGTTATGGCTCTACCCCGTCACACACAGAGCAGGGCCCGTTGGGGGGGGGGGGGTTGGGGCGCCGCGCCCTGTCACACACAGAGCAGGGCCGATCAGGGGGTTGGGGTGCCGCACCCTGTCACACACAAAGCCACAGGGCGATCAGGGGGTTGGGGAGCTCCCCCCTATCAGGCACAGAGCAGGGCTGATCAGGGGGTTGGGGCGCCTTCCCCTGTCACACATAGAGCCGCAGGGCGATCAGGGGGTTTGGGCGCTGCCCCGTCACGCTGATCCCGGTGCCGGGAGGCCTCTCAGCTCCGCTGATCCCTGTGCTGGGAGGCATATTACCCTTTTACTATATAGGATAGAGGCCTGGTGCATGGGTGGGAGCTGGCTGGTTTGCCCTGAAGGGTGTCCTGGATCAGGGTGGGGGTCCCCACTGGGGTGTCTGGCCAGCCTGGGTGAGGGGATGATGGCTGTTTGCAGCTGGTAACACCCCCTTCAGGGTGGGGGTTCCCACTGGGGTGCCTGGCCAGTCTGGGTGAGGGGCTGAGGGTTGTTTTCAGGCTGGCGGGTGACTGAAGTTCCCAACTGCTCCTTTTTTTTTTTTTTTTTTTTTTTATTCTGGGCCAGCTTTAGCTCTGGCTCCAGCTCTGAGCCTCTGCTGCTGAAAGCAGGTATCTGGTTTGTTTGGGTTCTATAATCGAAACACTGTATCAACTCCAGCTCTGAGATCCCAGCTCACTGAAAGCAGGTTTCTGGGGTTTTGTTTAGCTTCTATATTTGTAACAATGTTTCAAACTGCAAGCTCAGAGGCTGGCAAGGCAGGTGGGGAACGTTGGTTTCCTCCGTCACTGAAGCAAGCAAGCCTCATGTTAGCTTCAAGCTGCCTGACTGCCGTCCGCCATCTTGGCTGGCAGTTAATTTGCATATCACCCTGATTAGCCAATGGGAAGGGTAGCGGATGTACGGCTAATTACCATGTTTCTCTTTTATTAGATAGGATGATGATATTGCTAAATATGTCAATGTAGTAAAGGTTTCCTTAAGTTTTTGAATATGTAACTTCATTTACTTGCGATTCATAATTTTTTTCCTAAACTGCAGTAAAATCAGCAAAAAATACTTTGGCAATTTTAGCATAGTTCTTAGGATATTGGTTGGCACTCAAAGGGTTAAACCTGCAACCCTTCAGTGCATGGGCCCATAACCACTGACATTTTTTAAAGAAATAGAACAAAAAAAAATAATCAGATATGTATGGAACCATACAAAAGACCCCTAATTGCCAGAGAAATCCTGAGAAAAACAAAAAAAGCCAGAGGTGTCACACTACCTGACTCAACGATAATGACAACAGCATAGTATTGGAAGGAAAACAGACACACATACCAATGGAACAGAACTGAGAGCCCAGAAATAGAACCACATATATATGGGCAAAAACTTTTTTACAAAGAACTGAAAACACACAATGGAGAAAAGCCTCTTCAATAAATGGTGCTGGAAAAATTGGAAAGCCATTCAAAAGAATGAAACTAGTCTACTGCTTGTCCCCATGTACAAAATTAATTCAAAATGAATCAAAGACCTAAATATAAGATCTGAAACAATATACTATATAGACAAAAACAGCTACTAAACTTGGTTATAGAGAACATTTTATGAACTTGATCCCAAAAGCAAGGGAAATAAAACAAATGATGGGACTATATCAAGCTAAAAAGCTTCTGCATAGCAAAAGGAACCAATAACAAAACAAAAAGGCATCCAAGCAAATGGGCAATAGTATCTGCAAATAGCTCTGACAAGGAGTTAATATAAAGATGTTCAACCTCACTAGCTACTAGGTAAATGCAACTCAAAACTACAATGAGGTATCACCTCACACCTATCAGAATGGCTATTGTCAATAAAATAGGTAACAAGTGTTGGAGAGGTTGTGGAAAAAAAGAAACCTTCCTGCATTGCTGGAGGGAATGTAGACTGGTATAATCACTATGGAAAACAGTATTGAGGATCCTCAAAAAATAACTGAGTATGACACAGCAATCCCTCTCCTGGGTATCTACCTGAAATATCAGGACATTTATTCGCAAAGACATATGCACTCCTATGTTCATTGTAGCATTATTCATGATAGCCAAGACATGGAAACAACCAAAGCATCCTCCTACAGACAACTGGATAAAGATGTGGCACATACACACTATGGAAAACTACTCAGCCATAAGAAAAGATGCAGTTCTGCTATTTGCAACAACACGGATGGTGAGAATATCATGCTAAGCAAAATAAGTCAGAAAAAGCTAAGAACAACATGATTTCACTCATGTGAATATAAAACTGAAACTTACAGACACAGATAACAGTATGGTGGCTACTGAGGGAAGAGGGTTGGGGGAGGGTAAGTAAAGGGTAAAGGGGACTAAATATATGGTGATGGAAGATGATTTGACTCTGAATGGTGGGCACACAATGCAATATACAGGTGGTATATTATAGATATGTACACTTGAAAGCTATAGAATCTTATTAACCAATGTCACCCCAATAAATGTAATTAAAAATAAAAGATTGAAAAAAAAAATGTAATGTGTACCACAAATGTTGTTGTGTAGCAAATGAATAAGCCTAGCCAGTTCAGGATCAATATCTCATGAGTCTGCTGTCCTGTACAAAGGAATCACTTCTGAAATAAAAACTGTTTCATAATTTAAAACTGTTAAAAAAAAAAGGGGGGGGGGGAGTCAACTAAAGCTGGTTCAATTGAAGAAATAGTGAAGAAGGCCTAGGAAACTCATGTTTTAAATTATGAAAAAAGCCCAGCCAGCTTGGCTTAGTGGTTGAGCATCGACCTATGAACCAGGAGGTCATGATCCCATTCCTGGTCAGAGCACATACCTGGGTTGCAAGCTCAATCCCCAGTGTGGGGCGTGCAGGAGGCAGCCCATCAATGATTCTCTCTCATCACTGAAGTTTCTCTCTCTCTATCCTTCCTCCCTTCCTCTCTGATATCAATAAAAATATATTTAAAAAGTAAAACATGAAGAAAAGTTTTAGGAAATATATTCATTACATGAGTCCATCATGTGCTCTATAAGAAAAAATGTCCTTTTTCTTTAATTGTAAAAGTGATTAAAAACAAACCCACACCAGTATAATTCTATAATTTAGAGATAATAGCTGGTGATGTTTTGGTCAAGTAATTTCCTTTTTCTTATGAATGTGTTATGTAAGTTGAGATCATTAATGTAGTTTTGATTCCTAGCTTTTAAAACCTTTTATTCACTGAACATTATTCTGTCATTAAAAATTCTTGAAGCATGACTTTTGTTACATATTATTCTATTATAAGGACAATTCCTAATTTCTTAACTTTTCTTACTATTGGACATTGAATTCTAATTCCAAATTTTCAGTATTATGCTTTGTGATATACATCTTTGCTTATACAAATGTCTATGTCTACTTGCCCCAATTTTTTATTTTTGTAGAACTCAGTAATTATATTATTGGGGGTATGTGTTGTTTCTTTTTTAAATTTATTTCAGAGAGAGAGAGGAAAGGAGAGGGAGAAAGAAACATCAATTGGTTGCCTTTCCTACGTGACTGTACTGACTGGGATTGAACTCATGACCTGGGTATGTGCTCTGACTGGGAATTGAGCCTGCCACTCTTCCGTGCATGGGCTGACAGTCCAACAGCCAGGGCAGAACTCACTAATTAAAGGGCCAAAAGGAATTAGTATTTTAATGCCTTTCATTTGGGCAAAGTGGTTAACAAAAACTGTCCAAAATGATCCTCTCAATATACTTTCACCTGCACTAAATACTAAATCACAAGTAAACAAAAAATAATTTGTGCATGGATAGGGAAAATTGTTTTTGTCAAATAAATGCAAATTAAAGTTCCATCAGGCTTCATTGAGAATACTGAATACAGTATTTTGAATCATTGTCATTTGGCTCCTGCCCCTCACACTCTATGGAGATTGTTCTTACTAGATCAGCATATGGGATAGCCTATTTTTAGGCCTATCACTTTCCATCTTTTCTGTGTAACATTTTACTGTTGGCCATCCCCATTTTTCTTGATAGTATTTATATTTCAAACTAGAGGCCCAGTGCACAACATTCATGCACTGGGTGGGGGGGTCCCTCAGCCCGGCCTGTGCCCTCTCGCTCCCCTAAGTGGGCCTGAGCCAGCAATTGGATATCCCCTGAAGGTTCCTTAGGGCTGTTGTGGAGGCAGGAGAGGCTCCCCCCGCCACCACTGCACTCACCAGCCATGAGCCTGGCTTCTGGCTGAACGGCACTCCCCCTGTGTGAACGCACTGACCACCAGGGGGCAGCTCCTGCACTGAACATCTGCCCCCTGGTGGTCAGTGTGCATCATAGTGACCTGCTGTTCTGCTGTTCGGTCGATTTGCACATTAGGGTTTTATTATATAGGATAGTTCCTATATTTGTATAGTTCAAAATTCAAAGTCTCCCAAGATATCTTAGTTTTCTCTCTATGTATCCTTTCACAGATATTTAATTAAAGCAATTATGTACAAGTATACACATATACACTCTCATGTATATCATACCTATATACATAAATGGCAACACATAATTCAATGTATATAACTTTTTCACATCCTATATTGTGGACATTTTACCATAATAATACATAAAGAAATTCCTCATTAATTTCTATAGCTATATAATGTACCAGAAGTTACTTGATTAGTCCCTATTTATGGACATTTGAGTTGTTTTCAGTATTTTGCCATTATAAATAATATTTCAAGGAATAAGCTGAACATTCACAATTCTAAAAGTAGGATTGCTAAGTTAAAGAGCATGTGCATTTATAACTTTGGTATATATAGAGACAAACTGCTGCCTGCAGAGATTGACTAATTTACCTTTTTGCTAGTAATTCATGAGAATGACTTTCCAAATTCGTAGGAGTGCTGTATCAGGGAAATTAGCCTGTTTCCTGTGATGAGTTCCATATATTCCTTTCTCAAATTGTCATTTGTGGTTTTTTTAAATTAAATTTATTGGGATGATATTGGTTAATAAGATTATATGGGTTTCAAATGGTCATTATAATACATCATCTGTATATTGCATTGTGTGCGCACCACCCAAAATTTAGTCTCCTCCTGCAACCATCTATTTGACCCTCCTACCCACTCTAGTAACTACCATGTGTTCATGAGCTTTTGTTTTGTTCATTCATTTGTTGCTTTCTATTTTATATCCTACAGATGAGTGAAATCATGACTCTTGGCCTTTTCCGTCCAACTTATTTCAATGAGCATGATACTCAAGATCTATCCAGGGAGCCTTGGCCAGTGTGGCTCAGTTTGTTGGGTGTCATCCCATATAACAAAAGGTTACTGGTTCCATTCCCAGTCAGGGCACAAGCCCAAATTGCAGGCTGGATCCCTGGTGGGGGGTGCACAGGAGGCAGCTGGTCAATGTTCTGGTCTCACATCAATGTTTTTCTTTCTCTTCCTCTCCCTTCCTCTCTAAAAATCAATATACACACACATACACACACAAAAGATCCATCCATATCGACACAAATGGCAATATTTCATCTTTTCTTATGACTGAGTTCATCGTATATATGTAACACATCTTCTTTATCCAATCATCCATCAAAGGACACCTGGGTTGTTTCTATGTCTTGGCCATTGTGAATAATACAATGAATATAGGGGTACTGGTATATTTACAAATTTTCATTTTTTGAGTAGATACCATGAAGAGAGATTGCTGGGTCATATAGCTCTATTCTTATTTTTTTTGAGGAACCTCCATCCTGTTTTCCATAATGGTTGTACTAATTTACGTTCCCACCAGCAGTGTATGAGGGTTCCTTTTTCTCTACATCCTCTCCAACAACTGTTATTTTTTTTCAGTACTTTGATTGTTTATGTTTGATAGGTACCAAATGAAACTTTTTTTAATATACTGGACTACATTCTTTTTGTTAGTGGCTTCTGGGTCTTCCATCATAGTGAGAAAGACCTTCACTAATCTAAGACTATAAAATAATTCTCCAAGGTTATTTTAGGTATATTTTATAGTTTAATTTTTCACATGTAAAACTTTGATCCAGTGGGACTTTGTCCTGATGTAAAGTGTGAGCTGTGTCCCAACATTAAGGAATAACACACCTGCTTGCTGAAACTGTCCATCCTTGACTTCTAGGAACTATTCTTGATTTTTAATATATAATGACTTTTCTCATTACTGACATTTATTCTCTTCAACTCATGAAATGTTAAGTATTGATGCACAGAATTACAGTATCTTATGCATAAATATTTACCTGTTTATAGAGGCTAGCATTCCAGGACTGACATGCTGACACTGGGGAGTTTTTGCCAGTGGAAAGATAACTGAGGATGGAGTTGTTGGATTTCTGTCCATATTTGGAAGAATATCCTCTTCTTGACTGTACTGGAAATTTGGCAACTAGAATACAAATATTCATTATCAGCAGGCACCCCTAATAATAAAATTCTTCATCACAAAATGTTTTTGGAGGGCTTTGTTTTTTCTGCCTTATAATTTCCTGAGATAATGAAAAATATTAGTAGGCAAAGAAGAGAGCCTTGTCCTCTAAAAAACTTGGTTGTGTAAAATGAAGACAATGATACCTGTTTCTAAAAGTTGTATAGACCAGGGGTCAGCAAATGTGTTCTGTAGAGTCAGATAAGTAATTTTCTCTTTGTGGTCCATACAGTCTCTGTCACAACTACACGATTATGCTGGTTGTAGCTTGAGGCAGCCACAGCTAACATGTAAACAATGTTCCTGTTGCTCCTGTGCTCCAATAAAATTTTGTTAACAAAAAAAGGTGGTATGTTAGATTTGGCCCATGGGCCATAGTTTGCTGACCTCTGTGTAGACAGAACAAAATAAAACTGTGATTCATTTACTGAATAGTACCAAGTAGTATTAAACCTTTTGTGTATACAGTTATATATCCAATAAATAATTCAATCCTTAAGATTTTACCTACCTTTATATTAAAACCATACAAAAAGTGGACTTATGCCACAGAAAATGAACTACTTTATTGCTTTCTATTTGTACTTTATTACCTTTAGTTTTAAATTGTTGAGACTATTACATTTTGGCCAAAACATATATAGAACCTGAAATGATGGTGGAATAAGATAATGGGTACAGCCCCAAAGGACCACACTGTTGTGCATAGAACACAGTAAGAACCTCAGATGGCTCCCTTAAAATACCTACCTTTATAACCTGTATAGATAAAAGGGGGCCCAGATAATGATGTTACTAAATTATTAAAGCATTATGTAGCCTTTAAAAATTGAAGATTATTTAACAATATTAAAAAATGAGTATATGAGCCTGGCTGGCGTGGCTCAGTAGTTGAGCGAAGACCTATGAGCCAGGAGGTTGCGGTTTGATTCCAAGTTGATTGTGGGCTCCATCCCCAGTGTGGGGTGTGCAGGAGGCAGCCAATCATTGATTCTCTCTCATCATTGATGTTTCTATTTCTCTCTCTCTCTCTCTCTCTCTCTCTTTCTCTCTCTCTCTCTCTCTCCCCCCACTCTCTCCCTTCTTCTCTAAAAATCAATAAAAACATGAGTAGATGAAAAAAGTACCCTTACGTCTAATTCACCAAAACTCAATTTTTACACTTAATAGTTCAGCTGTCTAGATCCATCTATCTTCGTACTACTTTAATCTTAATATCTTTAACAGTTTCAAATTTGTACTTAATATTTGTACTGTATTTCACTATGTTTATGAAGAATATTCTTAGTTGATATATGGGTTGATTGTAGGGTGTATTTCTTTCTGTATAAAAATAAACCTGCAATGATTATTATCTTTGTGAAGATTTTTGGCATCATTTCATTTTTTTTATGATAAACTCCCATGAGTAGAATTAATCTTTATGGCTCTCATATGTTGAATCATTCCAAAGGTATGATTCAACTCTGCATCCACTGATGCATGACTATACCAACATCCCCATTGCTTTTTGTTAGTGGATATTTTAACTTATTTTTAAAATTATTCTGTAATTTAGAAGGTATACTTACATAGTAACATTAAAATGAGTTTTTTATATCATATTATTGGCTTTGTTTTATTTGTTGCAAATATTTTATCCTAATCATGAAGTTTTTAGTTATGTGATTTTTGATTCTACAAAAATTCTTTGACATTCAAACCTGTCAATCTTGTGCTGTCACTGATTTTACTTTATAGTAATTACTGTACAGTGAGTAATAATCTTTTATCACTCTCAAAAAAAAGTTTGTCTCATTGTATATGAAATTTTAAATATATACATTTGGCATATTTCTGGGTTTTCTTTTTGGTTCCGCATTGAAGGGTAGACTCTACACAATGATGAGAATGGCCTGTACTGGCTCATGTCTGTGAAGACTATCAATCCTTCACCTAAATATTAGGGATGAACACTAACCATATATAACAATAAGATAAAAATCAATATAAAGAAAACAATAAAAAAAAAAAACAATATCATGCATTTAAGACTCTTACCAGCACTCTTTGTTTCTTAAAAGGTGTTGTGCTAAAAAAATCATCATGGTCATCTTTTGGCAACTGGTCCAGAAAATCCCTCATCTGCTTCTTCCTTTTAAGAGTTCCCACTTTGGCAGTTATCTTAATAGTTTGCTTCTTATCTGAATCATCTCTCTTGCCTTAAGAGTCAGCAAAACATATTGGTAAGAACCTGGTCATTAGAATAACTGCTCTAGAGTTAACAAACTTGACAAAATCTAAACTGTGTATTCATATTAAGTAAATTCAGCCTCTATTATATACAGGTTTTTTCTGTAACAAGGGATCCTTTCTACACTGGGATCTGTGCGATATCCTTAGCCCGCAAGACACTCCTGAAGAACATACATGTAAGATTGGGCAGGGTTTGGTTAAAAAAGTCTTAATCTTGTGAGAAAGGTTATCTCCCGTACTCCTCTTACTGATACCTAATTTATTGATTTTGCTAAAATATAAAGCACATTTAATTATGACAGGGATACTGGACACACCCCAAAGTTTAGAATAGGACTTCTCTACAATAAACCTTGGGCAGAAGAGTGCACTCCTGGAAGCCATGAAAACTAAATTTATTCTGATAATGAAAACCTGCCTTGGGGCCCTGGCTGGTTTGGCTCAGTGGATAGAGCGTCAGCCTGCAGACTCAAGGGTCCCGGGTTCAATTCCAGTCAAGGGCATGTACCTTGGTTGCGGGCACATCCCCAGTGGGGGATGTGCAGGAGGCAGCTGATCCATGTTTCTCTCTCTTCTATGTTTCTAACTCTCTATCCCTCTCCCTTCCTCTCTGTAAAAAAAAATCAATAAAATATATTTAAAAAAAACCACAAAAAACAAAAAACCTGCCTTGGGGACCCTACCCAAGTGGCCTGAAATTAAATTAGACCCTTAGAATAATCCAAATACAGATAATCTTTGCAATTCTTTCTAGTTTTAAAGTTTTAAGAAAACATCTACAGCACTGGCCGGTTTGGCTCAGAGGTTGGAGCATCGGCCAATGGACTGAAGGGTCTCAGATTCCATTTCTGGTCAAGGGTACATATCTCCACTGCAGCAGGTTCAATCCCCTGACCAGGTCGGGGCCCAGGTTAGAGTCAACGCATTGATGTTTCTCTCTCCATCCTTCCTCCCTCCCTTCCACTCTCTAAAAATCAAAACAATAAAAAAAAAATCTATAAGACACTTGGATATCCTATATAATAAAAGAGTAATATGCAAATTGACCATCACTCCAAAACACAAAATAGTCAACCGTACGTGGATATAAGATGGCCTGCAGGGGAGGGCAGTTGGGGGGGACCAGGTCTGCAGGGGAGGGCAGTTAGGGGGAACCAGGTCTGCAGAGGAGGGCAGTTGGGGGGAACCAGGTCTGCAGGGGAGGGCAGTCAGGGGCAATTGGGCCAGCAGGGGAGCAGTTAGGCGTCGATTATGGCAAGCAGAAGCGGTTAGGGGCAATCAGGCAGGCAGGCAGATGTCCAACTGCCCATTTAGGCCAGATCCCAATCGGACCTAAATGAGCAGTCAGACATCCCTTGAGGGGTCCCAGATTGGAGAGGGTGCAGGCTCATCTTAGGAACAAACACACACACACACACACACACACACACACACACACACACACCCTGTGCACAAATTTCGTACACCGGGCCTCTAGTATAAATATATATATTATATTATAAATATATATAATACATCTAGTGAGTTATTATAAGTTGATACAGAAAAATAGGAAAAAACTATTTACTACAAAGTTTACCATTCTTTTGGCCTTTGGGATTGATTGGCTTTTTCTTAGTGACATGTTTCTGGAATCCATTTCCTTGGGGATCTTCCATGTATTTTCTCTGACATTCTTCAGCAGATCTAGAACCTACAGCCATAGCAACATCTGACCAGAAACCAGGTTTGTGCTTGGGAAGAGATGCAAAAGCACTATGGAAGACCAAATCCAGTTAAAGAATAAGAAAAAAAACAAAACAAAACCTGAATGCATACCACTAAATCAATCAGATTTACTGAGCTAAAGGAATTTTACCAAAATCATTCTTCTTAACTATTTGGAAAGAAGATACACCCTATACTCAATAACTTACTCTACTGCTTAAAAATATGATGACATAATTTAACATCTAGTAGATGCATTGTTTTAATCTGAAAAATTATCTCCAATCTCAAGGTATTTCTTCCCAAGTCCAACAAATCAGTGATTTGATTTTGGGGGGTGGGGGCTCTAACATGACTAACTTTTCTATGTTGTTGCTCAAATATTGCTGGTACTAAATATATTGAAAGATGAGCTCCGAGTTCATATACATTCCAGGTTATGTGTTATGCTTGGCTTGCTTTCATTATAGTATTACAGTTTATAGAACAGACTATCCTATCTAATAAAAGACAAAAAGGGTAATTAACTGTACCTCTGATATGCTTCCCATTGGCTAATCAGTGAGATATGCAAATTAACTGCCAACTAAGATGGTGGTTAACAGTCAACAAAGATGGCGGCTAATTTGCATACTGCAGGCAGGGTAGGACAGTGCAAGCCGCCATCCAGGCCCCCATGTGTGACCTGGGGGCGGGAGGTCAGGCAAAGCAATAGCTGATCTCCTTGCCGGAGCCCTCGCCCGCCCACCGGAGACACAGGGCCCACTCCCATGTGCGATCTGGGGGCAGGTGGGGGCTGGGGTGAAGGCAAGCGGTGTCCATCCCCTCGCCCAAGCCCTGGCCCGCCCGCCGGAGACAGAGGGCCCACTCCTGGGCACCCCTTCCTGCTCGAAGCAGAGCTCGAGGAGTCTGCGAGTGTCCTACCAGCCTTCCAAAGTGTAATAAAGTGCATTTCCGGTGAGAAGCCCGGGCCGGGTTGCGAGCGGACACGGATAGGCACGGGGCCCTCCAAGGGCTGCTGGCTTCAGGCCCAGGCTGCGCGGCCAAGCCTCCAGCCTGGCTCCCGCCTGGGGTCGGCGCCAGCGCCAAGCACAGGCGGAAGCCAGAGGAAGAACCCCCAACCCTTAGCTGGACGGACCTCGGGCCCTGGAGGGAAGGAGGCCGTAAGGGCCAGGAGAGCCTGAGAAGAGGGAAATCCCAGGAGGAGGCACCTGGAAAGTGCAGTGAATTGCAGGAGAGGGTGGAACAGCCACATACTGGCAAACCCTGCCCGCCCCGGGTCAGTGACGCGGGCCCCAAGTGCTCCTGGGCTTTGCCTTGCATCACGGGGTCACGCTGCCCATGGGCAGGGCAAGCAAGGGCCACCCCAACCTGTGCAGTTTTGCACAAAGGTGGGGAGGCCACATTTGGGTGGGTTTGTCAGGCCCAGGGAAGGCGCCTTCGCTCTCTGTGCCAAGACGGTGGCCAAGGGGCCCTCTGGAGACATGTGGTGACTGAACCCAAGCCAGGCCGGAGTCCTGCTAGCACTGAGAGGCAAGTAACTGGGTACCGCGCCCCAAATGCATAGGGAGCACCAGTGGCCTCCTCTCTCTTGCCCTGGAAGGTGGGAGGCCTGGCGGGATTCACAGGTAAAATGCAGACACTGATGGGTCCCAGACCCCTTTTCTTTGCACACACCCCCTCCCCCCTCCATCGTTCTGTGAGGCTAAGGTTCCTGAGCCCAGATCCAAGGACTGCAAAGGGAACAATTCTCCTGGTGAGAACATGCAGGCAGGCGCCTCCTGCCAAGGCTGCCAAGTTTGACAAACAGCGCCTCCTGGGGTGGGGAAAGCAGAGTGCCGTGGAGCAGCACCGGCTCCCAGCTACCCTGGGGGCAGGTGGCCACTGTGGCTCCCTGCTGGCCCCAACAGCTGGGCAGCGACCCCTGAGTGTCCGGTGCACCTAGGCCTTGCTGACCTCGTGACCCCAAGAGCACGCACCCGCCTCCTGGTCCTAATTGCCTCTCCCCCCTCCACACACACACACACACACACACACACACACACACACACACACACACGCATGCATCTGCAAAGGCGGGAACAAGGTCCAGGCGGCTGCGTCCACGCCCTTGCTGGTGAAAGTCACACTCCAAGTGGCCGGCTGTGTGAGGGGCAGTAGACACTCACTCGCTCACTCTCTCCCTGGAAAATCCAGAGTGCACCTTGGCTCCTGCAACGTGCGGAGTTAGAAATTGAACCGTTTATTGTCTCCTAACTTTTCTCTGGTTTCTTTGGTCACTCACTGTGGCTGCCCCCACTATTCTGAGTGGGCCCTGGGGGCTCCTCAGCCAGACCCCAAATCCCCAAATTAAACACTCGCTTTCAGAAAGCCGGGCTTCTCTCAACGCACCCCACAACCTAAAAGGTTGCCCCTCTGTGAAAAGCTCGGAGGAGCACCGAGCTGGGAAAGGACAGCTGGTGCGTGGCGGGGTCCCTGGGACCCGAAAAGGTGCAGGAAAAAATTTTTTTTAACACATTTCAATTTCAAGAAGTAAAAACAAAACCAAGAAAGAAAACCTACACTTTTGGAGCCTGAACATCCACAGGGACCTCAGCGTGATCCCGAGCCGCCGCCCGCCCCAGCGTAGGATCCGGGCCTGCCATCTGCGACCGGGGGAGACGGGGCAGACACTGTGGGATTGGGCGTGCCATCTGCCACCAGGGGAGCGGGCCTAAGCCAGCAGGTGGTTATCTCCCAAGGGGTCCCAGACTGGGAGAGGGCACAGATTGGGCTGAGCACCCCCCCCCCCCCCCCCCAGCCACCAGTGCACAAATTTTTGGGCACAGGGCTTCTAGTTTTAGATATAATACTTAAGGGAAATGAAAATTGGAAGAGAAAAAAAACAAGTCAATATAAGGTAGTTCTCCAATTTAACAAATGAGTTACATTCTAATAGTTCATTTGTAAATCAGTATTTAGAACCAGGTACCCATATTACTACACCACCACTCACTTTGAAGATATTTTATAATGCAGTGTTGTACTGATACATTTTTAACAACCAGCTATCTGGGTTTAAAAAATCCTTCTTTGCAGTATTGCAAATTTCCATATTGTAAATACCCCCAATGTGGCTGATTTCAAGCTACCAACATGATGTCATTGAATGAGGAATAAGAAATGTGCCATGGCACGCCATTATATAAAATATCTACTTTACAGGTATAGTAGCTGTAAAGAACCTTAAGGGTATCCATAATAATAAACTGTACTAAAATAATTAGGAAGTGATAAGTTTAGGGTATTATTGTTTTTAATAAATTTCTTTAATATTGTGGTTGTTAATCCTCAACCAAGGATATTTTTCCTAGTGATTTTTAGAGAGAGTGGAAGGGATGGAGGGAAGTGGGGGGAAACAGAAATATCGATGTGAGACACATTGATTAGTTGCCTCCTGCATGCACCTCCTCAGGGGCTGGGGATCAAACCTGCAACCCAGGTACTTCCCCTTGACCAGGACTTGAACCAGAGTGCTTTGATGGGTGGGCCGACGTTCTAACCACTGAAAAACACGAGCTAAGGATAAATTTATTTTTTTAATTACTATTAAACAATTTGTAGAAATCAGCTCTTGTGAACAGGTACCAGCTAATCATAGAATACCATTCGCTCCATGCATAAAAGAATACTTATGGGTATTAAACATTGATAATGAATTACCTACTCTTTTGCATAATTAATCACTAAAAAAGATTTGAGCTCTAACTTCCCTATTTGTGTACATAGGTAATTTTCAAGTCTGAAATCGCCTAAAAGGGCTCTTTTATTATAATAAAAATACTTAATGCATTTAACAAGAAACTAATGTGTTCTCCCAGACAATTTTAGAAGGCAAATTTAATCATGTCACTCCAGTGCTACTTAAAACTCACTTCATTATTAACATAAAAACCAAAATATCCTATATAATAAAAGGCTAATATGCAAATTGACCAAAGGGAGGAATGACTGGTCGCTATGACATGCACTGACCAACAGGGGGCAGACGCTCAATGCTGGAGCTGCCCCGCACCCCCACCCCATGGCCAGTGTGCTCCCACAGGGGGAGCGCTGCTCAGCCTTCAGAAGCCAGGCTCACAGCTGGAGAGTGCAGTGGCAATGGTGGGAGCCTCTCCCGCCTGCACATCAGTCAGACATCCCCCGAGGGCTCCTGGACTGTGAGAGGATGCAGGCTGGGCTGAGGGGACTCTGCCCCCCATGCACAAATTTCATGCACTGGACCTCTAGCTTAATATGACTTCCACTGCTCCTTGCCTGACTATCCAGTCTCATCCTGAACTGTTCTTCCTCACTTTCTGTACTCTAGACATTTTGGCTTTTTAGTATTTCTAATTATGCACTTCCTTTCTACTTTTACATACTGTTCTATTTAAAATGTACTTATCATAAATCTTGGGCTTAAATAATTCTTGTTTATCCTTTAGTTCAAGTATCTGTCTGAGCCAAGTTAGATTTCTCTGATACATATTCTTATAAATTTCTTACAGTGATTATAGTTATTATTTGCTAACTAACTGTCTATCATACTAGGTTATAAGCATGATGTAGCATACAAAGCAGTCGGCTGCAAATAAGAATCACTTGAGGAGTGCCCTGGCCAGTGTGGCTCAATTGACTGAAGTGTCATCCTGTACATCAAAACCTGTTGCAGTGGTTCTCAACCTTCCTAATGCCGTGACCCTTTAATACAGTTCCTCATGTTGTGGTGACACCCAATTTCATTATTACAAACTGAACATAATTAAAGCATAGTGATTAATCACAAAAACAATATGTAATTATATATGTGTTTTCCGATGGTCTTAGGCAACCCCTGTGAAAGGGTTGTTCGACCCCCAAAGGGGTTGTGACCCACAGGTTGAGAACCGCTGCCTAATGGGTTCGATTCCAGGCTGGAGTTTTGATCTGCATGCAGGGGGCAGCTGATCGATCAATGTTTCTCTCTCTAAAACACACACAGAGGCCTCCTGACCCCCCGAAAAAAACAAAAAACAAAACAGATACTT